TGTGTGTGTGTGTGTGTGTGTGTGTGTGTGTGTGTGTGTGTCTCTCTCTCTCTCTCTCTCTCTCTCGCAAAACGATGCTAATCTCCCGCCCTTGAGCCACTTCCCTCTCATACAACTCTCTCTCTCTCTCTCTCGTTGTTGTGACCAAACAAAGACCATCACGTCACCCAGCCTCACCTACTTCTGTCGTTGTCTCCCCTCTTTTTACCTATGTGTGATTGCGTACGGGCGTGCGTGTGTTTTCCGTTCGTCAAAGACAACTTAACAGAAAAAGGATGACTATAACAAGACTGTTCCGTCGGACTCGGTGACACTGACTCATGTCTGTGTGTGTGGGCGCGCGCGTGGGCGTGGGCGTGATATGCTTGCGTAGCACCCCCATTGCGCTTGATCGCTGCCATCACACGCGAACTAACCCGCGAAATTCCGCCCGCACGCGCGTCTCCAAAGTTCTGTCCAACGTGTCAGCCGACTGAACACGCGGCAAATCCGTCAGACCAACGGAGCGAAACCTGGGTCTTGCCCTTCGCCGTCGCCGCCCTACTCGCCAAATGTACAAAATAAGAATGAATCTTCCGTTGGAACATGGAAAGATGCACCGCCATCACTTTTGTCTTTTGTGCATGCGGTGAGTAGTGCGGCAAGGCCCGTAGCACAGGAATTTCTATGGGACTCGTCCCACTACTCGCCGAATGTGAAAAAGACAAAAAACAAATTCGGTGTGTATCTTCCCGCGTGCTGGCAGCAAGTGTATCTGCTCACTCTTTTCTTTATGGTCTATTGGTCCCGACACCAGACGCTCGAGTCATATCTATAAATAGCAAAAACAAAAAGACCTCCCCCACGCTGGAATTGACTTTTCATGGGCCTCGCTGCACTACGCCCGAAACGCAGCGAAACGAACCCTGAAAGCGAAGGTGAAACACAGAATAGCGGTGACAATCAAGTGCTTGCCACTGGCATGAAAGTCTCCACGGCGGAAAACAAAGGACCTACCGGTAGTTTTTTTTTTTTTTTTTTGTTTTTGAAAAGGATGGCCTACCGGTAGTTGCTCTACTCGCCATCGGCCACAATTCGTGGCGAATGGGTGGAGAGTGAAAACATTCAAAACAATGAGGTCTGGTTGCACTTCACTGAGTTTACTGGCTATTTCTTCTACAGAAAAGTTAAAAACTTTTGTCTGCCTGATCTCGACTCGTGAAGCTGTGCACTCTCCAGAAAGTTGTTTTGTGGAGAGGTCCGAGGACCACCACCCTCCACAAACAGCCGTGCACAGGCGGGAAACCGAAAACACTCGCCACAACTTGTGTCTACGGTGTGGCGAGCAGCCTGACATATTTTCCATTCTCCAAGTTTGAAGAGTAAGGGCCTCGTTCCACTACTCGCCATAGGCCGCGTGGCAGATGCGACTTCATTCCACAGCGTCTCCAAATCGGTCTGAAATAGAACTCCAAGGCCTTCCATTTCGCCCGCCTGCAACGGCCCTTCGTGGAGGGCGGTACCCTCACCCCTCCGCGAACTGCTTCGTGTGGCGATTGGCCCTGAAGCCGCAGCCCTGACAGTCGACCTGCGTTGTGTTGGCGAGTTGCACCTGGAGTGATTTCCGGTCCGAAGACGAGGGTGTGGCAACACCCCCACAGTTCCATTAGCCCGCCATCCGCAATCGGGTGTGCAGGCTGGGACAGCAACCACAGCGCACGTGGCGGCGGCTGTATAATGGAACCAAGCGCCGGCGGATGGCGAGTAGTGGAACGAGGCCCTAAGTGCAACCAGGGGCCTACTCGCCAAACTTGGAGTATGGCTTGTGGTGCTTCCACAGGACGTGGGAGAGAAACATGCAGCTGGCTGAGATCCAAGGTTCGTAGTTCGCAGCCCGTCAGGGTTGCGTTTCCCCCCCCTAGACATTTCAACGTCACTGAAATTTCAACGTCGATGGTCGTTCGGGAGGGTGGGCATTTTGAGGTTTTGGGCCTTAGCAAGGGGCGGGGCATGCGAAGGACCAGTAGCTGCCCCTAGGAGGCCGAGGAGGCCGGTCCTTCAGTTTTGTACATTCCGAAATCGAAATGGTGTGGGTCCACTTCTCTTCTCTTTATACCTTAAAGGAAAAAGCGGTCCGCACGTGACGCTCCCGCTGGGCCCAGCGAAATTTGGGTAGGGAGGTCCGCGCGTGGTGCCGCAGGGGACCGAGGAGGGCGCAACGGTTGGGGAGGCCGGTAGCCGGGACGGCCGTCGTCGTGACGGGGGGGGGGTGTCGGTTCGTGTCGTAGCAGGGAAGTCTCGGCGCGGTGTAGTTGGGGAGGCCGGTAACTGCCACGGGCGGCATCGCAAGGGGGGGGTGTCGGTTGGCGGGAAATATTCACTATTGCAGCAATCGAATGCGGGGAGCGGTTTCGGGCAGCAACGGGGTGGCAGTGTGAATGCTATCACACACACACACACACACACACGAACGATTCATTCCGATTTTGCTAAAAAAGTGGCAGTCGCGAGGTCGGAGAGTTATCGTCTCTCTCTCTCTCTCTCTCTCTCTCTCTCTCTCTCTCTCTCTCTCTC